CATAAGTTAGTTCATAAGACAGTAAAGCACTCTATATTTTATCTTTTGTATCTGCTGTTACCTGATAAACCTGTTACCTGATATTCTGCCTCTTTACTGAGCAGTCTAATTTTTTTTCTTGCTTCATATGTAGATACATTCAAAGTTTCAGTGATGAGAGGTCAAATCAAATTTAGTTCTAATAAATTAATGTATTTATGACAACACTGAAGTCACTATGATGGTTATTACTGAAATAGATATATTTTAACACTTCTACAACAATCATAACATCTGCTTGACAGACAAATGTCCGCACTAAACAACAGCTTGAAACGATGTTCAACATTCTCAAAAGTGGGACTCAGCTTTTCAGATGGGAGAACGATACATTCAGAAAGTGCCGCATTCACTGAAAACACTACATCCAGATGAACAGAATCAACATTTGGAGATTTTCTTACCTGAATAATTGAGTATGCATAAAGATGTTCAACATTGCACTATCAGACTAAGTTTAATTACATCTGCACTCTCGGATAATACTGAAATAATGTTACAATCATGACCATGATCAACATGATTTTTTTTTACCAACTTGCAACCCAGAGACAATAACAGAGCGCTCTACATATCCAACATTTAAGACATCTCAATCAATGGCTCATTGCAAATCATCAGCCTCTTTTTTAAGTAATGTCTGCTTGATATGTTATTTGTGTTTCTTTTGTTGTATGTCTGTAGACACATGAACGCATGGAGACTATATTCATATGAAGGTGGAGGAGAAAAGATGCAAAATGGAGCCCACTACATTGTATCTTTTAGGGTTACTGGAGCTGTTGTTTCTCTATGAAATAGACAAAATAGAAATAAAGTCGCATAATGTAATGGTGCATGCTGCATGCAAATTCAATAAATGGATGGAGAACTAATATTAAATGCACGAGTGGTTAATTCATTTTCTCAAGGGACCACATGGGAAATTGGGACTGTTGTGAAGGGCTGCATCAATAAGCTGGACTCAGTTCTGTTTAATACTAATGTTATCCGATTATAAGCTTACCACAAGAGTCCCAGTGTCCTGTGTGGCCCCAGAGGAAAATTCATAAAACATACTCTGAATGGAAAACCCATCATGTCACCACTACATTGTGTTTTCAGAGGAGCCGCGGCTGAGTTTCTGAAGTCCTCAATATAAACATATCAAAGCCATTCTTTGTTTGTAGGCATTTCAAGACCCAAGGCTGAACTCAAGCATGAACTCATCCTCACCTACGCAAACATTTTTACACTCATCACAAGTCTGCCTCTGTAGTCACTGAGCAATCTAAATTTGATTTTGCTTCATATGTAAATTAGATACAAAGTTTCAGTGATGAGTTGTGAGTACGAATTTAGTTCCTGTCCTTTTTCTCTAGGAGGTAATTTTATCTATGAGAACACGGAAGCCACTAAGGTGGTTATTACTAAAGTAAAGATCATTTTCGCACGTCTACAATGTGTGACACGCATCTGCTTTTGACACAGACACAAGTGTGCACACTGAGATAGCAAACAATAGTTGTTCAACATTGTGCTATCAGTCTAAATTTGATGAATTCTGCATTGAGCATTGATATTGTTTCTTAATCAGTTTTGCACCCTCAGATAATATTGAGACAATATTAATAACATGACCGGAGAACTTCAGTAATAAAGCTAAACAGCAACAAAAATAGGGAGCATCTCAAACACTGGCTGATAGCAAGCAGGTGTGTGACCACCCAGAACTCATTTATGTATTTATTTTTGTTGTATATCTTTATGTCTTTGTTCATTTTAATGTTTTATGTGACCTGGCCTGGGACTACAGATATAAATGATCAGTTTTGTTATAACCTGGCATCTTTTAATTTTGGCATACTGATGTACATCAACATACAATTATCCAGTTAGATAAAGAAAAACATTTCATTTAATCAATTTTTGTGGCATTTCAACTCATATTAAAAGGCAAATTACTAACAATACTCAATACTTCAGAGTATTGTACTTCTGTATCTACAGCCAGGATAAAAGTGTAATGATGTTGGAATACATTATCCTTATTAAACTTCTTATTATTCATTTAACTCACGTTAAATACTTTTTAGAATATTTTATTTAGCTTGAAATTATGTCTGGGGAATTTTCTCCTACCTCTGTGATGTCCTGCCTCCATCCAGCCTAGACTGTAGCTTTGAACTGCTTATAGCTAAAGGAAAATTCTCTGTGTAATGCATTTGCACCAACTACAAAAGAAAATACAAAAACATAATGTGAATAAAGCACGTGAAATTTTAGAAACCTGTCAACAACTTGTTTAAAACTAAAAATGATTAAATTCACATCTCAAAAGCTAATTTTGAGCATAACATTTAACCACCTAAAACAGTTTATTTTACTATTACAAATATCATCATAAAGAGGTGCAAAAGGTTGCATAAAGTGCCAAATACAGTCAGCAAAGATATGCATGTGATAAAGTGCGTTTCAGTCCCTGGGTAGGTTGTCTCTTGGTCATAAATCCGTGATTTTTAAATATTATTCCCAAAAGCTCGATCAGCCAATTAAAGCATACGTCACTGTCGTCACACCGTCAAGTTTAATCAGTATTTAACATTGATCCGACATTTATTTAGGTCTGAGATTTCAGTCTCAGCCACAACGACGATTCAAATAAAAAGGCAGCGTTGTTTTAATGTCGTCTTGCTATCTGTGCATTTGAAGCACTGCTTGGGTGTTTTGACTCCAGATGAGGTGACAGGATTCAGTGATAACACATTAAGTTGGATGAATCCGCGGTGGCTTTCAAATCCTAATTTACCACACCTGGAGCGATGCGGTTCACCTGGTCTCATTATACCGGAAACAACTGCATAAAAACGGAGACAGTTGCCAAATAAAAGGAGAGTACGCATATTTTAAGACTTTAGCTTGTCTGCCTTTATTGTGTCCTGTTTTTAAAATTAGATTTTTAGTGAAATGCCTCCCAAAAGGCCACCAGCAAACTCCACTGAGCTGTCCGATTCATCCACAAGCGAAGCGTCGGTGGATGAGAAGCCGGAAAAGAAATCAGGTCTGTGCGCAAAAGGCGAAAATCTTTAAGATGGAACGAACTTTAAAAATTATATGTAAATTTACTCTGCGTAGATGCTGCGCCTCATCCATCCACGGCCATCATGGTGAAAGAAGCACTTCAAGCGTTGGACTCGCGCAAAGGGGTTTCATCCCAGGCGATACTGAAGTATATCACCGAAAAATATCCGTCGGTGGATTTGGCGAGGCTGAAGACTTTAGTTCGCAAAAACCTGAAGAAGGGAGTGGAAAATGGGACGCTGGTGAAGCCTGGAAACTCCAGCGCGACAACGGCCACGAGGAGATTTAGGGTAAGAGGTTACATCTGCAGCTGCGTTCAAACGAAGAGTTCAAATGTCAATTACGGGTTTCGTCTTTATTAAGCTTGCACCGAAGACTAAACCAAAAGCCGAAAACGCAGAGCCCAGTGTGAAGAAGTCTCCAAAAGCAGCCAAGGATGGAGCCAAGAAGCCCAGGAAAGCGGGTATGAATGACCGTTAAACCTCGAGTGAGCAGTAATGTAAGCTGTTACTCGGTGTCAACTCGTCATTTCTTACAGGTGCCACAAAGAAGAAAGACGCTGCAAATGAACAAACAAAGTCCAAAGAGGTGAGCGGGCGCAAGTTTGGCTTTAGATGAGAAGTTGGGAAGTGACTCTTCATGTATTTAAGAATGTGGATGAAGCTCATGGTAGTTTACATCTATATTCATGGTCAGAATGTTACTTTTGCAGAACTATAAAGTTCAACAAAATGTACAGCCTCACTGGAGAAATCCTGGAAAAAAAAAATCCCAAATTGCACAACTTGAGCATTTATTTTAAGCCAGATATAGCAAATTTGATGTATTTTATTTACATGTGACTTTATTTGGAGTGTGTTTGATCATTTGTCAGATTCATCTTAAAGTGAATTTTCTGGCAATTGCGTTACAATTCAGGCTTTAAGGGGTTAATGGCTTGGTAAAGTGTCCTGAACATGTCAGTTTTCATAGGATCTCTTATTTGTCTGGTAAAGTAGTTTACGTTCTCTCCAGTGTTCATAAAATTCTGACATTCAATCTACTGCTGTTTCCTAAATTCCCCTTTTGCCTTTTAGGACTCAAAGCCTCCCAAAAAGTTGAAGGATGAAGAGGCTTCTACATCAAAGGTTGCTCCAGCAAAGAAGCCAAAGGCTAAAAAAGCTAAACCGACTGGGGATGGTGAGGAAACTGCTGACTCGACCAAGACTAAAGCAAAGAAAACAAAGGAGTCAAAGCCTGGAAAGGCCAAGGTTGCCAAAGTGGACAGTAAAGTGGCTTCTAAATCAAGCGGAAAACGAGGGACAAAGTCTGAAGATTAAACTTGTAATTCTAGACTGTTTTTATATCGTTTATCAAATAAATCTAAATTTTTAGCTCGAGTGCATTTGAGTATATTCTAATTACCTTTAATACTAGACTATACAATAACTAACCCCAAGCATTGCAAATGTATTGAATCTGGCGCCTAATTTACTTCAGACCTTCTGCATTTGTGCTACTGAAGGTCTAACATGTCCTACAATGAAAGAAACTTGACCGATTTTTGCAATTGTGAGTTTATGACGGCAAGTCTATAATGCTGTGTAACCTGGTTTCAAAATAAAAAGTTGTTCATCTGCAAACATTCTGAACTTAACGTTCAGGTGACAGCTTTTCTGAGTGAACCATATTTGCGCAAGTCTCAGCAGACAATTGTGTAAATGAGCTGACCTAGTGGGCTCTTCACCAAACTAAGTCACTGTTTCTATAAATCGGTGCATGTCCCTGACTATGTTGACCATCCTCAGCTGTAGATTCATGTCCTGTAAACAAAGGATTCATTCCTGTGTAACTCGGACTTCACTGTATGGGCTATTGCTTTCTGTAGTAAGACACATGCACTAGATTTAAGTTTCCATACACTGCAGTAATAAAGATAACGGAGGGGTGTCTGCATTCATTTTATTTGTTTCCAAGATGTTAATTGCAGAAGGGTAACTGGTGATACTCTAAAATAACATTCCAGTGCCTCCACAGGAAAGACAAAAGGACCAGAAAAAGCAGCGTGCAAAACATTAGAAGGGCTGTCTTGAAAAATGGGGCCACCCAGCTGCTCACTGTGGACATCAGCACCAAAAGCACAGTTATAAAGGCTAGCGATACATCGATTAGTTTTTCAAGTACTGTCTGTGCAGTGGTATTGGCCCGTGTCTCTGGATGCCCTGCATCCTCTTCTTTCTGCTGCTGCTGCTCCAGCTTGAACTGGCGTCTCTCACAAGCCTCCAGCACCTCCTGCAGGCCAGAGACAGAATTGAAGCCCTGTCAGAATCTGTTTTTGGAGTTTTTTTTCTGAGGTGGAATAGTAAAGAGTAAATCTGGATTTTTTTTAAAAAAAAATTTGTACAGAAAGGAAGAATCAGCACATCGGTTACATACTGGAACAACTTCTCTTGTCATGGGAAAACATTATTTGAAACTTGCATAAAAATCTTGTGTTGCATCAGAAGACCGATCAGCACTCTTCTCCGCTGTGGCAGCTAACTCTTTTTTCAAGTTCCAAACTTCATTCTGATACTGTTCTGTCAAGTCAATGAATCGCTCTTCTAGAGATTCCCTTCTGCAAAACACAACGCTACATAAAAACAGCAGATGGTTTCAGCCTACACAGCTGTATAGAGTAATATAGTACCTGTTCTGTAGGTCTTTAAGGTCCTCAAAGAGCAAAGAGTAGTCTCGTTGGTGACTCGCATTTAAGTTTTTAAAGTGTTCTTCAAGTTGGCTGTGGCTTTCCTGAAGCTTACCGACGTACTTCAGTACATCATCAAAGGCCTCGCTGTGGTCACAGGTACACTGCCTTGAGCTACTGTATAAGATATTGAAAGAGACATTTTAGTCAGATTTTGCACCACAGTTGCTGAATAATTGGACTGAAAGAAGATGTAGAGGCCTCCTGTTTGTTACTAGCGGTATTTGGATAACAGCGTGCTTTCCAGATGACGGCTGTAACCTGAAAATTGGTCTGCCTCAAAGTGGGTCTCTGTGGGTTGACTACATATATAAGCATGTTTTTTCCACTTACAGTAAAAAGCAATGAGCAGTGTGTCCTTACTGATAAAATCTGTCTTTTACTGCTGTTTAAAATAATAAAACAATTTCTTTAAAAAAAAAGTGAGATTAAATTAATTAAAGTCTTTAAATTCAATGGTTTTTTTTGCATTAGGACAAAAATTCATTTAAAACGATTTATAAGCACTCATTTTAGTGTGGTGTCTGCTTATAATCTATCTATGCTTTATTTAAAAAGTCCATTATGTCACTGTTAAGTTGTGCTGATAAAATGGGAACTAACCTATTACAAAAATGACTGAGAGAATAAAAATTCACCCAGAACTCCAAACCATCATCACAGTCGATCAGCATCACGCCAGGGCATGAGTAAATGTTGTATTAAATGTCATTTCTAGAGTGCATGAAACATCCAACACTTGTAAATGTTAATATGCAATCACCAGCCATTTTATTAGGTACACTTTTCTAGTAATGGGTTGGACCACTTTGGGCTAAATTCTTCATGGCATAGATTCAGCACAGTGTTGGAAACATTGTGTGAGGTTATCATGTCAACATGGACCAAAAACTCTGAGCAGTTTCAGCTGTATGTTTATGATGGGAATCTCAAGTTCCTAAATAACCTTTCTCCTCCATTCTGATGCACTGTTTGAACTTCAGGAGCACGACTTGAACATGTCAACATGCTTACATTGTTAAATTTGCTGCCATGTGATTGGCTGAGTAAATGTTTGCTGTGACCCTAGTGTAAATCAGTATTCTCGAAGATATTTTTATTTATTACATTTCAAGAAACACCTGGGCTTATACAGACCACAGAGGATATGTTAGGGCCCTAGCTGGGCCTCCTGATACTGCCCTTGTGTGGGCGTGGTGTTTTTCTCCGCCTCCTCCTCTCTTGCTCCACCCCTCTGTCTCTCTCTTGCTCTGCTATCTCCCCAGGACACAGCTGCTGCTCATTGGACTCATTTACCACCTGGGCCCAGTCAGCAATCACCTCTCTGAGATCATATAAGCTGGGGATGAGCTGTGAGCAGAGTGGGGTGTTCTTGGTGTGGAGTTGTGGGAATAGTATAGCTGCTTTATGTGAGTAGTGTGGGCTGCTGCTAGTGATAGGGTGAGCTTGTGGGCCCCTGGAAGTGCCTCCTCGTGGTGTGGAGTTCTTGTTTGGTTGTTGTGTTCTTTGTTATTGCAACCTTTTTTCCTTTTTCCAAGTGTTATTGGTAAAACGGCATTGCCGACTCTTTATGTTAAGATTATCTATAATAAAGACTATTTTATTTACTAAAAACACCTCTGTTTTCCTTTCATTCTGTTCTGGACTCATTTGTTACTGGTCCCCTCACTCGCATCCCTAGACCCCTTTGGGGGGACGTAACAGGATAGAAACAAAGTAACGGTCCTATCACGCTAGTATCGATCTGATACCAGCGTTGGTATCGGTATTATCTGCCCGCCTCTCACCGGGAGCTTTCGTCCCTTAGGCTGCTGCTGCTGTACCCGTGTGTGTGGCCTGCAGACTTATACCTAACACACAGTACACGGCGATAAAGATCCCTACCTCACACTTGAATGTAGTAAGAACATCATTTTTGATGACTGTGCAGTTCTTCCTGGTTATATTGGTCGCTTCATGCTCACCTGGCTTCAAGTGACATCGTGGAGTCGTAGTCGGGTGTCAGTGACCTCTCAGGCGTTGATATGTTGAGACACATTTGTCACCTTTAAAAAAATAAAATAAAAAATCCAACTACTTTGCATGTGTTAAAGTTTAGCGGAATCGAAGCGATAAATGTTGTAAACAGTAAAACGACGTTGGTGCCCAACGTTCATGTTGCTTAACAACATGTAAAACTGTCAGAAACAGAAACGTTCACGCTGATTCAGGTTTGTGAATGTCGTAAACGATCTGCTATCCGGTGTTTCAGGTTCAGTAAGTTTTCTACAGTTAAATAAAATCTGTGGTAGTTCAATAAAAGAAGTTGTTTTGCTGGGTGTAGCTAAAGGTCTGAAGAAGGAGGCAGTTCCCAGCTCAATTTCACCTTCATCCGCGGGGAACAGAGAAAAAAGAAGTTTTTAAAACGACAGCAGATTTAATGGATTGTGTGGAGCATCTGTTGGCTTTGACGTTTTTTGTTTTTCTGTACACTCTCGACCCTTTTATGAGACGATGAGAAAGGTTAACATATAATTGTTGATATGATCTTCATTGCAAATATCTTAGCCAATCACATGGCAGCACCTCACTGCATTTAGGCATGTAGACAGGCTCCATATGAGCTGCTGAAGCTCAAACTGACTTTGAACGTAGCATGATTGCATGTGCCAGAATTATTTCAGATACTGCTGATCTGCTGGGATTTTTCCAAATTACAGCAGCAGCAGACCACACCGGTGAGGAAACTAGAAACTGAGGCTACAACTCCACACAAAATGTGACAATAGAAGATTTAAAAATGTTGCCGGGTCTGATGGGTCTCAACTTCTGCTGCAACACTCAGATGATCAGGTCAGAATTGGTCTTAAACAACATGAAAGCATGGCTCTATTCTGCTTCGTATCTACGGGTCTGGGTGGGGATGGCGTAGTGGTGTAGGCAGGGGTGTCAAATGGGCCGGGGACACATCAGAGGCTCTAATCTGGCCTACTGGCCCACTTTGTAAAATGTGAAGAAAGGTATAGATTTTGGACTTTTAACTGCATTTTCACGTTTTAGACTCAGACTTCCTCCATGGCCTCTCATACTACATCAATCTACCTAAGTAACAGATAAGCATTTAAATAACAGAACATTTCCTGCATTTTTCACTATCTAAAATAGAACTTTCTTTTTTTCTATAGAGGGTCTACAGAAAAAAAACGTTTTTTCATTACTGGGCAATAAGCTAACAGCTTTCTGTAATTTTACACGTGTTACAGTTTAAGCCCAGAAAGCCATGCTGACAGATTTCTTCCATTTATTACGGAATCTATTTTTTTTAGAAGAACTGAGATGTTCTGTCGAAGCTGCACTTCTGTTTTCTTCTTCTAAGATATGTGAATCATTCCATGTGTGGTTAAACTTCTTTACACTGGCAGAAGGAGAATTTCACCGATCCAGCCTACAGAGGGTCAAACACAGCTCTATGTGGCCCACGATGTAAACAGAGTCTGACATCCCTGGTGCACGGGACATAGGGATAGCACACTGACAGCCCCCTTAGTGCAGGCTGATCACTGTTTAAACACCACTGCCTACCTGAGTAATGTTGCTGACCATGCCCATCTTCTCATGTCAAAAAGGTCAAATCACCTGAAACCAGTTTGTTGATCATGCCAGCGAGCAAAAGTTTTTGTGTTTTTTACCTTCGTGTTATTTTGACTATAACCCTCTTTAATGTTAAAGGTGTATGACTCCATAAAACAGATTTTTATAGACAACCGAGGATGGAGAGAAGTTAGACTTTCAAGTTCAGTTTTTAAACAGCAAATTTATTTATCTTTAATTAAAAAATAAAAAACAAGAAAAACCCAACTAAAAGTATTACTATTTCATTGTCACTAATAGAAACAGTACGGAAGCACTGAGTCTTTGAGCACTTTAACTGCTCTTCAAGTATGTTAAATGAGTTCATAGATGATTCCTCTGCAGTGGAAAAACCACCAGGATAGTAGGGTCCGGTTTGCATGATTGCAACTCCAAGCACAAAATTTCATAATAGTAATATCCTGGCTGTGCCGTTACCAGTGTTACTGACTTCACACATCCAGTAAGAAACAAGAGCCCACATGTGTCTGACCCAGAGCAATGTAGCTGATGTGCAAGCACCCCGTTCTTTAGAGTGTAGTGAGCAGAGAGAAGAAGTGTTGGTCATAAAAGCTGAAATCTGAAAAGATAGAGCAAAGAGGGGGAAAAAAGCAGACGGAAAAAAAACTGAATCACAAGACCAGAAAAAAAAAAAAGTACAAAAAAGAGAGCGTGGGCGACTATGACTGCAGAACACTGTAGGCTCATTACAGTTAAAAAGAACATAAAAATCCATCAATCGGCTGTATTAAAAATAGCAGTAACTCCAAAACAATACCACTTGAATCAGTTGAAAAGTAATAAAACTCTGAATAATATTTTCTTCTGTGGGGAAACAATGAAAAGTTTTCCCACATGTAAACAAATTCACTCAGAAGAGAGAAATCAAGTGTGCAGTTCTCTCAGCCCGCTCCTTCAACTATGCCCCGTTCACCCTTTTACAGTATGCTCGTGCCACAATTGCACCAGATATAGAAAGTCCATATCAAACATCCAGCCTTTTCTCTCCGTATCCACTTTTATTCTCCTCGAAACGTATTTCATAGAGCAGTAAAGTGACAGACAGCTTTGTAATCCTCCTGAGTGTTTTGAGAAGCTGCTGGAAAAAGGAGGACTGCTGAGATTCATCTTCCCACATGGGCCAGTGTCATTCCTTTATTATCGCTTTCACACCTCCGGTCCCTTCATGTTTAAATTACTTAAATGCACCTTCTCCAGGCCGGTCATCTGGGGTGCAGAAGAAAGCGATGCATATACTCTGAAATGGCATCCCAGTGCCTCCAGAGGATGGCGAGGATAATTACGAGGAGTAACGTAGAAAGCGTGCGGCTGCGGGTTTTCATCAGGGGCACGACGCAGTTAGCCACTGTGGACACAAACACCAAAAGGACTGCCATCACAGCTAGCAGCACATTGATTAGTTTTCCAAGAAGAGTCCGCGCTGTGGCATTCTCCAAGCCCTCCAGCTGCACCACCTGCTGTTGCTGCTGCTGCAGCTCCATTTTGGAAATGCGTGTCTGACAAGCCTCCAGCGCCTCCTGCAGGTGAGAGACAAAAGAGTCGGTGACAGAGCTCTAATAAGGAAGCACACGTGTTCTGTTCATCCAAGCGAGGCTTACCTGTATGTCTCTCGCTCGTTCATAAGACTGATAGGCGATCTTCTCCTCCATGCTCGCCAGTTCTTGTTTCAAGTTCAAAATTTCATTCTGGTGCAGTTCTGTCAAGTCATTCAGTTGTTCTTCTAAACGTTCACACCTGCAAAGCAGCACATTTCAAAAAATGGTACAAGTCCTACATAAACAGACTATACTGCAGAGCACATGACAAATCTACCTGTATCGTTCCTCTTGCAGCCCTTCCATGATCATAGTGTAGTCCCGCTGATAGTGGGCTTTTAAATTTTCAAAGGACTCCTCGAGTCGACCTTGGTTTTCCCGAAGCTCTTGGATCTCGTGGAGTATCGCATCAAAGCCTGAGGCTTGTGCATGATCAAGGGTGTTGCCCTTAGAGCTGGGGGGGCCTCCTGGGGCACCAGGGGTGCTGTTTGCTCCTGCAGAACCAGAAGTAGCACTAGAGCAGTCATCATCACTGGGATACTTTGGGCTGGATGGTAAGGCCCCTGTTCCAAGTGCCCTTGCTCCCCCAGGACCAATGCCCTCATCTCCTTGGGTTTCATCGAGAGAGTCCTTCAGAGCTGCGATGTTATCAGCGCTGCCAAACTTGTTACGGATGATGTTAGCTATTTCTTTCGGCTTGGACACCACGGCTCCAGCTGCAGAATGAGTTGCTTGAGAGAAGCTGGAGAGGCCTCCTGTTACCTGTAGTGAAACAGGATCAAGTCAATACTCAAGAATGCTTTTGTGATATACTGTAAAAAAGCTCTGGCTACATTAAACACCAAGTGTATCGAGACAGTTTGCAGAGCGCACACACTTTTAATTGGCACATCTGCAGATCTGTGCATGACTGGGTCAATCACAAATTAAACAACATTTTGAACTTTTACTGGTATGCTTTCAAGTTGAGGTGAGAGATGATAAACCCTATCCTAACTGACACTGGTTAGAAGATAAGAGTACACCTGAACAGTTCAGCAGTCCAGATAATCACAGATAAATCTGTGGATGTATTTTGAATTATCCATTAACCCATTAATTGGCTGTGACCAAGGAACCTCACACGACCACATCAAGAATGCAGACTCCGCACAACAATTTAATAAAAAAAAAAAAAAGTTAAAAAACTGAAGACTAGTCTATTTTTTTACTTCTGCGCCTCTAATCTACATGGCTGATTTGTACAACTGCACTGACACTTCCAATGGCATCATCAAAAATGGCTAAACCAGGTGAAGTGCTGCAGCAGACACTCAGCAAATGGTCGGTGAAGCCACAGATTAAGATTGTATGATGTTTGTTATCAAGTAAACTGAAGGAAAAAGGCGACAAATATGTTACTGCAACACTATCAGATGGAGAACTTGAGGATTGATTCCACCAGAAAAATAACTAGCCTGTTATTCATGTTTATGGATTTCAGTCTTAACATTGAGCATTGTCCTCCGTGTGACCTGGGAGCTGCTCTGAGAAAATTCACAAAGGTTTAACATAAATAATTAGTATGGAAGGTAAACAGTAACCACTACCACTGTACTCCTCTATATCGAGTCACATATTTTATCAGTTATTCAACAGAGTTCTGCTTTTCAAGAAAGTCAACAGTGAGAACAACGACTGGCAGTATGTGCAGTATTTACATGCAGTGATGTATTTCAGGTAAATGCCACGGCACCTTGCAAGAGAGCAGAATGCAGAGGTTTGTCTTATTTGGTTGAGATAATATGAATTTTAGTGTTCTGTTGTCAGGGCACTTTTTTAAGGCATGAGTGCACTACAGGAGAACGACTTGGACAGGAGGATTTCAAAGCTTTGGAGAGCTATGAAAAAAAATTACCTAAAACTTTAAATGATGCTTAAAAAAAACAAAAACAAAAAAACACAGACCTTGGCTCCGACGTCCTTCAGGCCCTGATGCATGTCTCGGAAAACGTCTTTGGGCTGGCGAGGGATGCCGTTGTGCTCCACCTCTCGAAGCTTCCGGTGGTAGTGCTCAAGCTTCCTCTGCAGCTGCTGGATAGTCTGAGCCGACTTTTGGTTCTTCTTCTCGAACACCTGTTTGATGCGTGCGCTCTGCTGTTTGTCAGCATTATTGGCGAGTTTCAGGTATTCGGCCACATTGTCGTCACGTGCAGTTTGTTCTATCTTGATTTGTTCTGTGAGCTTGAGGATCTTCTGCTGCAGTTG